AACTTCCACATAGGAATTCAAAAAATAGATAGTTTTCAAACTTAATTATGAGATTTTCAAAAATATGGAATTTTCAAAAACTGCTTGGAAAAAAATATTAATGGAAATTTAAAAGAATTTTGAATTTTGACGTAAGACATAAAAATTTTCATAAATTAAACATTTTCAAAAACAGAAAATTTTCAAAAATGTGTGAACAAAAAAATGTTTATGAAAACTAACAATAATTTCGAACTTTCATATATCTGAAACTTAGTTTTACTAACTAAAAATAATTTAAAACTTTCATAAAAAATTAAAACAAAACTATTTTTCGAACTTCCATATTAGAATTAAAAAAAAAATCCTCATTATTTATGAGGTTTTCCAAAATAGGATTTAATGACAATTAAAAGTAATTTAAAAATTTCATGCAAAACAAAAGAATTGTTCTGAAATCTTCAAAAACTGATAATTTTTTAAAACAAAGAATGGGTGCAAAACACTTCTAAGGAAAATTAAAAATAATATCGAAATTTCACATATTTTCCATACTAAGTTTGAAATTTTCAAAAACAAAAAAAGATTTTCCAAAAATTATAACTCGCAAAAACATTTAATGAAAAATTAAAATAATTTAAAATATTCATAAAATATTAAAACAAAAATATTTTTCGCACTTTCGTCAATGAATTGAAAAAATAAAAGTAAATAGTTTTTAATTTTCATAAATTGCATGTAACAACAAATGTTATCGAAAATAAAACGATTTGAAATTCGTCTATAAAAATTTAAAAAAAGTACAAATTTTTCGATTTATTTTATGGAATTTTCAAAAATTGTACGTATCAAAGAATGTTGTCAAAAAATATAATTAATTTAATTATTTCATTTTAATTTTTAAAATTCTTAGTTTTGAGTTAGTTCAAATCTATGAAATTTCCAATAAATATGTAACCGAAATAATTTCCATCCTTCATCAGGAATTAAAAAAAAATCGAAATTAGTTTTAGCTTTTCAGAAATATGGAATTTCCAATAAATAATTTCAAAAATATTTTTCGAGCTTAGTTTGGAGATTATTATTTTCAAATATTGATTGTAACAAAAAAAAAATTAATGAAAATTAAAAATAAATTTCCAATGTTCTTGTAAAACTTAAAAAATATACATTTTCAAACTTTCTTTGGAAAATTTCAAACATGTTGCATATGGAACACAAAAATTAAATTAATTTCGAAGTTTCATCCAAAAAATTATATTTTCGAACTTAGTTTTGAAATTTTAGAAAATAGGAATTTTTAAAAAGTTACACAAAATTATTCACTGAAATTCAGAAATTTTCATATGTGCATATATTTTTCCAACTTTTGCTGAAATTTTTTAAAATTTTGCATATGGAATACAGAAATTAAAAATAATTTCGAAATTTCACCCAAAAAATAATATTTTCGAACGAAGTTTTAAAATTAAAAGAAAAAATTTTTTTTTAATTTACACACAATTATTCACCGTAAACTCACATTCAATAATTGTATGCTCAAGTGAAATCCACTAATATTCCATTAAAACTACTTCAGAGTAATTGGCAGTGTTTGTTTCTCACTACGCCCGCTTTTCGAATGTATTTATTCTAAATAAATAACACAAATTTCACACTTGATCCTTTCAGCAAGGACTTTCTAGCGCGCACACAAACACACGTCACGGCAGTGGTGCTCAAACTAATTCTATAAGCACAAGTACACCAACACAAACACACAGCACTATTCTATAGACGCTTAGAATTTCGAAAACTTTTCCGATTTGAACGCGACGACCGCAAGTGTCCAACTGATTTCAAAATCTCCGCCGTAACGAACTTAAATGAAAACGATCGCCGCTGTACCGCTGCATGTGCATGTGTTGGTGTGCAGTGGTGTGTGTGCGTCTGGCTGAGTGCTGATCGCTGAGCTGAGAACTCGACGAAGCCGAAAGTAATTCTACTCATAAATAGCTAAAAACAAAACACAATAATACAACAACAAGTAAAACAACACTATGATACAACAATAAAAGCCACAACAACAAGCAACAACAACTTGCTATAAAAAACAAAAGACGAGAAAATAAAGCATAAATGCGCTGAGACAGTTTTTGGCCGGCAGCCGCATCGATGACGTAGCCGTCGTCGTGCGATACACGAGACAAGTCGTCAGACGAGGCGTATGCGGTTTTGTTGTTGAGGTTATTAAGTCATCAGTGACAACAGATTTGATGCGACGGTGCGCACTTTGTGAGTGTGTGTGTGTTTGTAGTGCTTTTCGATTTTTGTGCGTTTCAAATTTGGTTTTCCGACAAATTATAACAAAATGTAAATATTATTTTTTGAAGTGATCTACATATTTAATAAATTGAACGGCGTATCAGTTAATTATTAAATCATTCACGCTTATCATCGTCGCTTATCACGCCGCAAAATTGTTTACCGTTTGCTTATGTGTAGGAATTTACAGCAATTTATATAAAGTAATTCGAAAAAGCGCCAAACTAAAATTTCCCAGGGGAATTTTGAATTTTTGTTGTTGTGAATTTTTTCAAATTTTGTTGTTGTGAATATTATTAAATTTTATTTTAAGTTTAAAAAAACTAAAAGATAAGCAAATTTTATTATATTTGTTTAATCATTTTGAAATAAATATTTCATAAATTTACAAAAATATATTTTTTACTTTTCATAATTTTTTTTTACTTCTTCTTTTTAATTTTTTTTTTTCTAAATAAATATTTGATAAAAAAAAATATTTAAGCCCAATTTTTTTTTTTTTKTAAAAAAAAAGAATTTTTTTTAATCATTAAAAAAATGCATACACCTGTGTTCCAAATCTACACTTAAATGTCTTAAATCTCATTTACACCCATAAATTCTCAGAAGAAAATAATAATTTTAGCAACATCAATAAATATTAACAGAAATATTTGCGTATATTCGCCGCTTCCGTTCGAATGCAAAATTGTGATTCATATTTCGCGAGTTTTGAATGAATTTCAAATGTTTACTTAAAACCGGTTTTTAATTTTTATTTTTAATAACTAGCTGTTGATATTCATTATGTTGTTTATATTTATTTTCATTTGTTTTTTTTTTCGTTTCTACTGAATTTACGCATGCGTTGCGGTTTCGCTACTTAACGACCTTTTAAGGTTAAATGGTTTAAGCGGCATTTCTAGAACTAGTTATGGTAATGCAAAAAAGTAAAAAAATTACGATGGATTTCCACTTTTTTGGCATTTCCGACCACAAAATAATCACTAGCTTCTTCTCTTATCATATAGTAGTAATTAATATTTGTGGTTCTTGCACATGTTTGAAGAACAAACAGGATATACAAAATATTTCGACTTAATTTGGCGGTTAAACTATATCTAATATAATATATAATAGTATAAGTAAATGCGTTGTGACAACTTTTAGCAATGAGGGGACTTTTGGATTATATTATTTAATTTTTTCTAGTTTGATTTTTTATGAACGCTACCAAAGTTATTAATTATGAATTTTAAGTGCAAACCCATTTCCTCACTCAAAACTTCGCCGAGTCTCCCAGTCTTGTTTGTAATGTCAGTGGACTTTATTATAATTCTCAAGGAAGTTGTAATTCTAATGATTGTTATTTTATAAACTAACGTTAGTTTGGCCGACATGTTATGGAGAAATTAAAATTTCGAAAAAAATAGGATAGCAAAATATTTCGACCTAATTCAGCGGTTAAACTAAAGTGAACATAATTTGGGAAATAGCATATCGAAATTTTTTTATTTAAATTTGTTTTTTAAATTAGGCTTTTCTATGAATAATCAACGACTCACTCATAAATTCGACGAGTCTCTCAATCTTAATTGCAACGCCAGTTTTTTTGTTATAATTTTTTAAATATATCTAGCCTTAACAACCACTATTTTGTAAACTAACCGATGTTAGGTCCACATGTCTTGAAAAAATTAACATTTCTTAGAGAACAGGGTATTTAAAATATTTCGACCTAGGTTAACATTTAAACTGTCGTCGACACATTTTGGTCAAAATACCTAAGTATGCCGTGGAAATTTGTAAAAATCATCTCATCTTCTCACTTAGCCCAATATACCGAACCGATGTAGTCGATCCGTGATCTAAGGATCATATTGGAAGAAAAATAATTGAGTAATGGAAATAATRAAATCCAAACTCGCAATTTCCAAATTTTGCGCCTCCTATACGCTAAAATTCCTGTTTACATATTTTGTTCCTTCTGTCTTCGAGTGTGCTATGTTCATTTGGAGACCATACTGTTTATCCTAATTTAGTAGGATTGAACGCGCTCAAAAGCTTTTTCTTAACTTTACCCTTCGCTCCTTAAAGTTTGTTAACCCCATATCGTGTTATGAATCTCGTTCATTGATATTAAGCCTTAAATCACTTGAAAATCAGCGGTCCGTTCTCAGCCTTTCATTTATTTGCGATGTAATTAATAGAGGTATTGACTCATATATAGAAAAAAATAATTTCAATAATCCTAAGCATTGCCTCAGATCTATTTCCCCATTCTACTTTACAAATGAGAAAACAAAATGTACGAGAATTTAACTAGATTTCAGAGAAAGTTTTACTTGATTTTTCTCACTTTTGGGGTTCCTTCATTTACATCTTTAATTCTGTTTTCAACTAAGTTATCTATTTATTTTATTGTTATTTTATCATTTTATAACAGTTTAAGTCATAATTTTATAATAGACTTAACTAAACAAATAAATAAATAAATATGGAACAAGTTTCTACATTATTATTTAGAGATGAAGCCTTGTATCCTACTGGAATATTAAGAAAGCAGCGAATACTTTTTTATCTACTCCTTCTCTTTAATATTTTTTTTATTAGAAAAGGGCGTATAGAATGTCTGATACTTTTTACAAGTAACATAACAACACTTCAATATTTTTTTTTTTTTTTGGTATTTTCTGCAGTCTGCATAGAACAATGGTTGCAATATTACATTAAAACGCCCGATTTGTGACTGACCAACAACAAAACTCATTTCGTTCTGTTTCATTAAAAATAAATAAATTTGAAGATATCTTTAAAAATTTGATTTTTTTTTGTTTTTTTTTTTTTTTGTTTTGCATTTGTTGCAGATTAGCTCACGTCCACATAATCAGTAGAATATTCTTTCTCGCTCATTGCTATGTTTGTCTACACAAATTCCCAAATGCTTATTTAGCCAAAAAATCTTAATTGTTTCTTATAATTGTTGCTTGAAATACATGTCACGTATGCCGAATAATAAAATTTCGGACGGTATAAAACCGAAACGGCTTTTACCGAAAAAGCGCAAAGTAATATGGGGTTTTCTCGTTTTAATAATACAATGCTTTATATGCATTTCAAAAATACACAGTTGTGAAGAAATATACTAATTTCAAACTAGTTCACTTTTGGTTACCAAACGTTGCATTTCAAAACAACAGACGATTTCAAGGGAAGTATGATGGAATTTTAAATATCTCAGGTAAATAATATTTCCAAAAAATGCATTTTGCTAAGTTGGTAGAACTATACATAGTTGCTAAGTCAAATATGAGTGTGATCTGTCAACCAGTTTGTTTACAGCAGCTGCTTAAGTGGGTACACCTCAGTAGTGCGTTGTGATTTTTACAATGGACAAAAATATCGAACAAAGAATTTGTCCGAAATTTTGCATTTCTAACCGAATTTCGTATGTGGATTCATTACAAATGTTAGAAAAGTCTTATGGCGATTCGGTCTTATCAAAAATACATGCCTACGAGTGGTATAAATCCTTCAAAGACTGTCGATAGATCGTTGAAGACATGCCACTTCGACCTCTTCAACTAAGGAAAATGTATTAAAAAAGTGAAGGAAGGTTTTCAAGCATCATTAAAATTCGTCAGGCAAGTGTTAGAAAAATAGAGCTTGACATCTTTCGCGAGTCCGTTCGAATGATTTGATGCGACATAGGTTCATGAATTTGACATACATATATGAATTTTAAAAACAATCACTTTTTTAGCGAAGCCGCCATTTTTTACAAATCAAAATTTAATTAGTCCTTCTATCGTTACCTATTTTTATCTATAGTAATAATAATTTTTTTGGAAGCGAAGTGGTGATTAGCGATTGGCTGCTGAGCCTGCCAGAAATGGTGTAGCCATTAGGTGAGAGTATTTGTTGCATACTGTCGACATCATTTAACTGATCACAGTTATTTTGGGCTGGTTTTAGATTACCACCAATCGGAACTGAAAAGGTTGTAACCAGCAAATGTACCCCTGGAAGCATTTGAAATCGAAAATTCGGTCTCATCGTTTCAATGCTTTTCGAGCACTTTGGCTAGACGAAAGAGATTCGTTTCCTTGTTAGCACACAAAATCGATAGCAAAAAACTTGGAGTTTTCTAAAAATCTAAGAACACAGTATTGCATTCACTCTGCCAATTGTGGCGTCACGACAAAAATTGCGCAACCATAAATTGAATTTTATTAAAAAATCGGGTTTGCATTTGAACTTTTTTTTTTGAAATTTTTTTTTATCAAACGACGCCAGCAATAAAAAATGTTTTTACAACATTTTGCGAAACTGATGACAAATAAATGCGCAAACATTTGAATATGGATATATATCTTGAGCCTTAATGTAGATATAATATGCTATTCATATGACACACACACAGCTGCATCGCACCGGCAGCGGCATTACGAACACACCCACACAAGATGTTGCGATTTGCTTAATTTCGAAGGCAGTTCCGTTTGGTAATGATCTTTGCTTCATGAAAATATATCA